TATTAGAATGATTTGTGAAGGATCATGTGACACTGAAGACTAGAGGTCGACTGATAGTAGATTTTACCGATAACGATAGCTAGGTTGGACCACACTGGCCGATAACCGATTAATCAACCGATAGTTTTTAAAATGGATACTGAATGAAAACTAAATAGTGCTGAACTAGAACAAAAAAAGTACTGAACCATGCTTTTTAAATAGAATAAAAATATTAATTATAGATTGATTGATAGAATTGATGTTAGTTCATTTACTAATGTTAACAGATGCAACTTTAAAATGTAAGAATGTATTAGTATTGAAATTAACACACTCTAACAAGGAACAATACTTCTACAGCTTATATTAACCAGTTAATGTTACAAATGGAATCTTACAAATTGTAAAATATTATTTCATACAAATCCAAACAGTCATGCTTAAAAATGGCCATGTTTAAACATCTACACAAAGGCCATAGCACTGAAATTACATACATATGTATTGTATGTACTCTCACACTTTATTTGCGTTTATTTTGGAACACTTGATGATCATCCAATCAAAACAACAAAAAGCTCACCTGACTCACCTGACTCTTACACTTTATTTGCTTTTATTTTGGAACACTTGATGATCATCCAATCAAAACAACAAAAATCTCACCTGACAAAAGCGCGGCACCGCGTCGCATCTAAAACTTGCAGGTATCACACACACCGGACACATCATGTTCATTTCAAGCAGCTGTCCTGAACAGTTTATTTAATCACCAAACAGGCAAAGGTTCACTACAGGAATGTGGCGTCGATGAGTTTGAAGTTCGGAGCAAAACGGAAAGAGAAAGCGCGATCTGTACTGTAGCTCTCTATATGAATCTTACAGATACAGATTTTATTACAGCCACAGAAAGACAGACATTTTGCTGAAAAATGCACAATACATTGTCTTCCAGCCTTGCGTGAAGTTATTTTACATACGAACAACAATCTGGGATAAATATAATGTCATTTAATGGAAAACTACATGGCTCTCTTTGGTGCGACAGGATTTCTGTCAGCTGAATGAACATATCAATGTGCTTTCTCAAGCCACTAGTTTAAATATGCAACTTCGATGGATAACAAATAAAATGACCAATTGGATATAAACTAATGCAAATAGATGGTAACAATCGTGACATCAAACATTTGGTTCGGACTTGAGTGTGTTTTGGTTACACTGTTTTAACCACTTGAGGTGGTAGTACTAATGTTCGCATCCTCTCAGCCTTGATGGCAAACATACTTCTGTCCTTTCACTACTAATGCAGCATCTAGTCAACAAATTAATTACTTTATAATAATATGAAAACATGTACTGTAGTATACTGTATACACACTGTTTCGTTGTCTGTTTTAAATCCGCATTGAAGTGTCCCGCTCTGTTCAGCGTGCAGTGTCACGTGTCAAAACAAACAGCACGTGGTGTCAGTGATTCGCCTCTAGAGGCCGCTCTCGCTCTCGTGCTATATAATGACAGCGGAGCTTCTCGGCCGCTCTAGCAACGGATGCAACCTGGAAAAACGATCGGTATAGATTTTTGTCGATAGTTCCAGCAATCATCTGTAGCGAATCAGCTCATTGGGGAAATATGAATAATTAATCATAACTAGTTATAATTAATTATAAATATTTAGATCCGCTGTAAGTATTTACTTGACCTCTCAGGGTCAACTGTCTGTCAATTCTAAGAATGTTAATTTCCTGGTTAAGGGAAATAA